CATTCGATAAAAATTTATTTTCATTTGCTAAAAATATTTTCATTCGATAAAAATTTATTTTTATTCGCTAAAAATATTTTTATTCGATAAAAATTTAGTTTCGATAAAGTGACGTGACCGAAGGAGGCATGGCCACAAAGCATTTACGGTACGGTCACGAAGCTTTGCGCTGTAGGCCATTTTATGCTGTCCAAAATGCAGACGATGGATCGAAACAGGGCATTGAGTCGCTCGATCATACGCAGTGAAGTGAGGCAGGCCATCAGTGAGTACTTTGCCAACAGAAGTAGTCCTCAGGCTGCACCGAGTGAGTGAGTGTCAATGTAGTAATTTTCAAGTGATACCTTGCAGCGAATGAAGTCGCTCTTTTGTGTAGTCGACTGAAACTTACGAAAGCTTGTGTGTTTCTTATAGTCGCACCACAGACACCACAACAACTTGGAAGTAATCAGGATCAGCGTTTAGCTCAACACCAGCAAGTTCTCAGCTTGAGCTACCATTACTCGTCATGCTATTTGATCCCATCTTGACCGATTAAGAACTTGCTGGTGTTGAGCTAAATGGTCCCGAATGGTCCCGAATGATACCGCACTTGTGTCCCTTTGAACTTCAGTCGTATAATAAATCTCTTACTAACCAAGCTTGCTCGGGACCGTACTGGAAGAATTTCGGCCCTCGGTCTTTCTTGTATAGACCTCGCTGCGCTCGGTCCGTACTGTCAAGACCTCGGGCCGATATTCTCCCAGTACGGCCCTCGCGCTTGGTTAATAAGATATATGTATGTCCTGAGGAAGATATTTACCATCGTAAGACATTTTGTCAAAAGATCCTTACAAAATTCCCAGTCCAATCATGATGACATGGATTAAATTAAAGAGGTTGGACTAGACGGAAAGCTTCTGTAAGGGAAATTATCTTAGAAATCGTGTTGTTTTATTCTTACCAGTATTATTCAGCCTGCAAAGTAGAGAACTCTTTGATTGAATAAAATGTAACTGATACAGTTGCTGCTACTACTGTCGTCGAGATTACCTAAGAACTGTATCTGCGTGTATTTCTGTTGGTGGATGTAGGTAAGAGCATATAAGTTTTACCTTTATTTATTTCGCTATAGCTTTCAAAATGTCTGCATCACTTGAATGACCACCACGTTTTACCTGACTTCATCCTGTCACGGTACGATAACTATTTGGATTAAGGCAATTGTAAACTAAAGTTACAATATTCCCTTTTCAGTCCAATTATTAGATAACAATTTCAGCAGTGATGAAGTTGAACAGAAGATTTGACTTTCTTCTTGTAGATTTTGTCGTATAACCTGAAGAACGCTTTAGTTGACACTGCCGGCTGTTTAGAATAAATGGCTGGAAAATGCCACATGAGACATCGAAGTCCCACGATTCCCAAGTATTAATCTCTACACTATTTCTAGACTGAGAAAATTACGTAAATGGACTAAACGTTTCACGTTTCCTCTGTTGACAAGCAAATTGGAGTTGTCGTGACTTTTATTTCGCTTTGTCTGCTTCCTCCGTTTTCATCTGACAGTTTGATACAAAGAGTTCTCTGCTTTTATAGCAACGCTTGACGTCATGAAGTTATGACACGAAAGGGAGTTCTTTTATTTTCAAATGCGCATAACAGTTAAAAATTCAGGGATCTTCGTAACATAAAAAACCGAGGAAAAATTTTAATGAATGATACGGGTGCTGAAACATCGAAATTTATTAAACCTAAAGTTTGATTCAAAACAAAGCTGAGCAAAAGTAGACATTTCATATCATCTTTATTTCTTCATGTATGCTACAAAGAGGTAAATAGACTGAACTTCGATTCTTTGCGTTACGTAGCCCTACAGTATTTGTAAACAGGAAAAACTGATTTATTCATTAATTGCTAATTATCAGTAAGAAGCCAATTGGCCATCAACCATAATTAGTGATGCTCCTCTGAGGCTATGAAGAAGATGCCTTGAAACGGTGACCTTGAACACTGCAACTGGCATAAAATATAATGTAAGGGAATTCTGTAGGAGCTTTTGTACAAGAGCAGTACACAATTCCCTAACGTAATTTTCACTGATCTCACAACACAAATCGTATCTTCAATGGAGGCAAACGGAAATCGTTGGCATGTTTCAATGTTCCCGGCTTGGACGAGAAATCAAAAGCGTGAAACGCACTCAACGGTCTGTGATCTACATCATGTACGATTACGTAAAGATGAACTCTCTAGCGAAAAATCCATACAAAAATAGTATCATTCTACTTTTACTTCCACTAAGTGATAGACTTTTTAAAATATACTGCCGTTGGTATAACACCGTTTAGTTTCATTTGGTTACGTCTCTGTTGGATTGAAATGAACTTTACCTATTGAGTCACTTTCTACCATTATCGCCGTTGCACAAGTCCCCTGAACAGCACTTTATGTCGCATTTTGTTGCTGCTTGGCCGCAGGCATTGACATCCATACGACAGGAAAATTCAGGTGCGCAAACTTTATTCATAAAACATACAAGAAATGAAAAAGGTAAAGGTGAGTGAAGGATAAATGGGAGAGAGCTGGGTACATGTTAACTTTTATTTAATTTACAAAAAGACAACCACAGTGAGCTGATAACATCAGATTTGAAAAAGTAGTTGTGGATAACAAAAACCGCAAGAGAATCTCTTTCGATCATTTATGATTGCTTTGTATCATAGATCACTTTGATAATGACTTGTGGAAAAATTGAGAACGAGAACGAGCTCTTACAAATCGGAAATCGGTTTCCATGATAAGTTTCTTCATTAAAGGTAAGCCGAAGAGAGCATTTGAAAAAATTAAGTAAAAATGAAACAAACCTTTTGCAAACGTTTCTTTAGACAAGCCGTCACTTTCATACTTTGCTTCCACTGTGGCACATCTGTCTGATCCAGCTACACACGTGGTCTGAATCTCCTTTGATGCACAATCGGCTGGAGATGAAGGGCTTTCGCACTCATAGCACTTTAAACTGTTCACTAGGTAAAGAAGCAGAGGCAAAGAAATGGTAAGGTAAATAAAAAATACTAAGAAGGAATTAAATGAATAAGAAAGGAATGGGTCAGCCACCCACCAGTCCAACCACTATCTCATTATGGTTGATGCTCACTCAAAGTGGCCAGAAGTGATTGGTCCCATGAAAACCACCACCGCTGAAGCAACAGCCAATGCTATGCGCAACATTTTTGCAAGATACGGCCTTCCAAAGCAAATCGTTAGTGACAACGGCCCACCTTTTCAGTCTGCTGAGTACGAGGAATTCTTGAGACAAAATGGCATCCAGAAGATATATACGTTTCCCCGTATCATCCATCTTCAAATGGTCTAGCTGAGCGGTTTGTGCAAACCTTCAAGCGCTCTCTAGAATCCTCAGCATCTGATCCATCCTGCACACTGCAGCAGAGAATTCAGAACTTCCTTTTGTCTTACAGAAGCACCCAGCATGCCACAACCGGCTCGTTCCCAGCCATACTGTTTCTACAAAGAGAATTGCGCACACGTCTCTCTCTAGTGAGACCGGACCTCGCCACTGATGTGTCCCACCAGCAAGTAAAGATGAAGATGCACTATGACAAGCATGCTAAATTCCGAGAAGTTGCTGTTGGCGACACAGTCCTTGCACGCGACCACTTGTCAGGGCAAAAGTGGCAACCTGGAACCGTGGTACAACGCCCCTCTTCACACTCTTGCCAAGTTCACCTTGACGATTGGCGAGTTTGGAGGCGACATGTGGATGACGTCTTGCAGAACAGCTCCCACTCTACAACAGCTGAATCTGGTGTACCATCCTTGGAGACGGCAACCCTAATTGTTCCAGAACCCAAACCGGTTAGCTCACCTGAAACCAGTTCACATCCACCTGATAACTCAGCTCAATCGGAGACAACTCCTGCCTTCACAAGTCCTATGCTGCGTCATCGTCCCGCTCTCACAGACATCCCCAGAGATCGATTGAGATGTGAACTGAACATTATTAATGAACACCTGTTGTTGTTGTTACTGACTGATCGTTAGTTAGCTGATGAACTCACAGAATACTTAGTTCTAGGGACACTCAAATGGAGACTTGTTAGTACTGAGTATTTGTTTATTTTGCTTATAAGAGAGTTATTCTTAACAAATCTCCAGGGGAAGGTGTTATAGTAAGGAGATGTTCTATATTGACTGTCCGTTTGTTGTGAGCCCGCGTAGTATGCAGCGGTAATGTTACCATGTACTCTTATCAATATAATCTTGCTGTTGACCCGCCATCTTGTGTGTGTGTGATTCTTTGTTGCCTTTAAACTTGTCTTCTGGTCAGTTTTATCTCCCCGCGATATTTGGCGATATTTGTGGGTCTTTTTCTTTCCTCAGCTAGCAAGCATATCATTTTTCTTGCCAAGGGCATATACCGAAGGCATCCATTCAATTCTTCACTCGCTCATTTTACATCGATTGTTCTAGATACTCTTTTTTTAGCACTGCTTCGACTATCTGAAACATGAATATACAATAACAGCCTGCATTTCCGGCAAAAAATGCTCAGAGGTTGTTGTAATACTGAACGCGTGGCACAACCAGGATAAGAAACTGAGACGTTTATTCAGCAAAATCTGCATGGCAACTGACGACGAATATTTAAGTGATTGAACTTACGGGAACGGTTCCCTAAAGGACGCACATGCTGATAAGTTTTACAATGTAACGCACCTCATTAAAACAGTTCTCTAGCTATGCATAACTGTTTCGAGGGGCAAACAGTCTTCGAGAGTGAAGCTTGAGGAAAATTGTGAGCTTCAAGGTACAGGTAGCGTCCACTTTCAAGACCGGATAACAACTTTCGTATACGGACTCAATGTTGCATGTCTGCTTTGTTGACAAGCAAGCTGGAGTTGTCTTGACACTTATTTCGCTCTGTCTCCGTTTTCATGGTTAGTTAGTTTCAAACAAGAGGTTTTCTGTATCCAAAACAACGCTTGACGTCATATCACGAAACGAACTTGTCTTATTTTCAAATTGACAGGAAACAGCTACTATTGAATGGATTGTTTTAACATGAAAAGTCGAGAATCAACTCGAACAAAAGACACAAGTGATGAAACAGAAATTTTTCAAACCTGGACCTTGATTCTGAACGCTCACGAGCGAAACTAACTTGTAATGTGCGATGACTTAAAACACTGCTACACAGAACATCGGTAATATACACTAAACAAACCATGAATTCGACGGTGGCATTGGTTAAAGCATCTCTTATTATCGTCATTGCTTCGAGTATGCTACGAAGAGGTAACTAGACTGATTAGACTCCTTTGAGTTTTGTTGTTAGCGTGAAAGTTTGCATATTGTCTGTTGTAGTCAACTGGCATCAATCACAAGGAAAATGCGCCTCTCTTCAGCTACGTCAAAGATATCGTTCAAATCTTAAATATAAAATAAGATTTAAGGGAATCGAGGTAGGACCTCAAATACAAAAGAACTGTAAACAAGGCTCTAACGTTGTTATCACTGATCTCTCCACACAAATCACAACTTTAATTGAAGCAAACAGAAACCACTAGAGAAGTCAGTAAAGTGAAGCGAACATGACGCAGAGTTTTAGATCCACAGTGAAACAGTTTCTGAAATGATGGAATTTTCAAGAACTGCATGCAAATATGGTATCATCATACTATCCTTCCGTTACTTCATTAATCCTAAAGTAACTATTGACATTAAACCGTTTGGTTTATAGGGCCACGTCGCGGTCGCAAATGACTGGATTCTAATATTGTCATGTTTACTTTTCGTAGATATATGACATTAGGCAGGGGTCGCACTAACGCTTTTGGTGTTTACATTGGACATAATGCAGATGTCCTGCCTCCTTCTTCTGCCGCAACGTCAATCAAATCTGAAATACTGGAAAAAATTGGATTTTTGCAATTCTGCAAAGACAACATGTGTGCACAGCTAGCCTACAGATATCGGTTCAAAATTTTAGTCACCGGTTTTCTCTACAAACGTTTTATCTGGTCTTTATGGCGAATTTCAACCCATACCAATTTACAAATTTGCACTATTCACCTGATTATTCTCAGTATGGGAATGGCTTGTTTTCGCCCTTTGGCTCGCAGATTTTTTCCCATTTTTTGCATCTGTCGACGTCGGTTTAAAGCGGCAAGAGCCAAAATTTGCCGTTGGCGAATGTTGTACAATGCGTACAAGCCAATAAGGTTTTGTACATTGAACAAATTAAAAAGAGATTGAAGAAATGTCGCTGATAAAACTAGCACCAGCTTCGTGTCTACAAAATTATATTTGGCGCTCTTTTCACGCGTGAAGTATTACGAGTTGACAGTCTGGTTTCAAATATCATTTATACATATGCACGATCCTCGCAGTAGATAGCGCTATTTAAGCAATAGCGAAAATCAGACCTGAAAAAAATCAGGCCTGTACGGGATTCGAACCACTGACCTCTGCGATACTAGTGCAGCGCTCTACCAATTGAGCTAACAAGCCAACTGGGAGCAGGCCGTTAAGTTGATTCGTAATAAACCCGTGAATGTGATAAATTTTTTCAAAAAAAATTTTTTTCAGGTCTGATTTTCGCTATTGCTTAAATAGCGCTATCTACTGCGAGGATCGTGCATATGTATCTAATACCGCAGTAAAAATATACGAACTTCATATATTTCATTGTATCTCAATATCATTTATGTCGCGCACATGCGACCCCCATGATCCCGTGGTGGAAATGTCGCAACATATTTGTGGGACAGCAGTGTGACGCGACATAAAAAAAAATAAGGCCACAGTGCGACCCCTGCCTTACTTGTTTTTCCTCACGTGGAATTCAAACAATACACTATTTTATTCTCACAATGGCTCGTTCTGCATTAACTCGACTGCAGGAAAGGAGGCTAACATTTTCACATATTTCTCTTTATCTCTTTTAACAGTAAGTTGCCTCAAATGCTATCAATGCAAAGGTCCAGATAATGGTCGATCGTACCCACAGGAAATATGCGAAAGAGAACTAACTGTTATCACTTGCCCAAGCTTAAATCATTCACTTTGCGGCAGATATCACCAAAGGATCAAATCGGGGGCCACGGTAATCGAAGTGGAGGCACGATCATGTGTAGCGGATTGTAAAGCCGATATGGAAGATTCCTGTCGAGCCATAATCCTTGCGGGCGGCAACTGCACTTATTCATGCTGTGATGAAGACTTGTGTAACAGTGGCAAAAGCGCAGCCGTTGAAGAATCGCGAGGGTTTTCATTCGTGAAAGCAATGGTTGCTGCCATATTATGCTTATTTACGTTGAAAGAAAAGGGCTGACATTTTTTGAGCGTTCGAAAATATAACTGCAATGTCTAATTTTAAGTAAAACGTGTAAGTTCTCTAAAATGTATTTCTTTGTACAACTGACAAAGAACATGATCTCAAAAGCAGTTCAACAGGAATTTACAGCATAATGCTTGAATGACATACGCAGGATCGCCAACAGACAACTAAGTAAATGCCCATTGCACCAGAGGCGCTTGATTAACCATGTAAATCATGGTCACGAAATATTTCATAGTTTTCAGGAAAAGGAAACGTTGTATAATGCAAAATCAGCAGATTGGCCAGAAAGTTGGGGGTTTTAAGCATGCAAAATAGTTTTCTGGAAAATATTTTGCATTGGAATTTAAGAATAGTAGTATTCCAGTCACTGTAACTCAATTTTAGACAAAATTCGAGATAATTAGAATTTTTTCCATTCTAGAGCGTCACGTGTAATAAAAGCAACAGAACCCATTTTTTCCAGGCTCCATAGCGTGATAGAGCCACTTGGAATGTGAGGAGAACAAGAGGAAAGGTTATTACACAAATGTTATGATATAAATGTAACAAATACGGGTTCTATAACTTGATAAAGCATCCGCTTGGAAACAGAATATTCCAATCGGACGATGTAGTATGTTCATAAAACAAAAATAGAAGAAGAGTGCTACAACTACAACCTAAACCTACTAAGAGAAAAACTAAAGCTTGAGCTAAAAGCTTCCTATAGATTCACGACCTACTCTCAACAATTTTTTTTTCTCGTCCTTGATGACCAATAGGAAGAGAAAATAAAGGCATCCCATTATTCTCTCTTGCCAGTAGGCATTTTGAGCCTTCAGCAACAACGGGGTCAGGCTTCGCTACATGTTCCACCGGTTTTGAAAGGTACTTTTGAAAGTTAAACAGGATATTTTTTCTACTTTGAATTTCTTACTCTTTAAGGTGAAGACCCTATAAGAAAACGACTATCTCAACCATAAGTTAGCATGTCATTCATGGAACTTTTGATAAACTTGAAATGAGTCGAGGTGAGATCTGAATGCACAAATGCGAGATAATGTAATACAATTCAGCTGACTGTTTCCAATAATGCTTTAGGGTACGTACACTTCCTGTCATCATTTTGGCCCTATTGATCACCACAAATGTTGCATAACTCACACCTTTGACATTCATAAAGTAAAATTTAATAGCAAATCTGAATGTTTTTTGGAGAAAAAATGTTCCATTTTCTTTAGGAATGTTTTAAGAACGGATGCATCTTGAACACAAATAACTCAAGTGATTTAGTTGCTTTTTTTAAGTTGCTGTGATACCTTCCTAACTACATTGGGTAAAACACAAAAGATAGCAATGCTTTCGGTTAAGCTATCTTACAAAGCGATGCGAATCCCACAGTAGCATTGTTAGTATCCAGTGTGGTAAGATTGCAGGTCTGACATTACTTCCAACAGCGTATCACGCAACTTGACGGGAGACAAAAGGAAATATAAATACGATAAGAGAGCAAGGTTTTTTTTTAAAGTTTTTATCGTTTATGTTCATGAACCGCATGTAGTATGAAAACCCCAGACCTGCATTCCGATGCTTTATTACCGACTTACAGAGAACTAGAAGGAAGAGTTAGTCCAAAATCCGCGTCACAATTGTTGAAAAACTTCCCCCACCACCCTATGCTCTTTTTTTTTCGCTTTAAATTCGGATTGCCTGCAAAGAAACCAATCTTAAGAAGGAGAGCGGGGTGTTTTAATCACGAAAGCCGTTTAAGCTCAAATATGACACAAGCCACCTACTTATTATGGCGTTCGCACATACGCAGAGGTTTGACCGCGATGTTACACACACAACGCTTTCAAAATTTACGACTCTGGCGTCTTGCATGCCGCTGTAATCGTAAATTTCGAAAACGTAGTGCGAAAAACACAGCGGTCAGACGTCTGTGCATGCGTCGATCCCTTCTTTTTTCCTTGAAGAAGGAAAACTTCAAACGAAAGCATCAGAAAGCATAACGGCTTTAAATTACATTCTGAGGAGGAACAGAGTATTATGGGCAGAAACAGTAGAAGAAAGAAGAGAAGAAATAGAAGTACTGCTATGAAAGATCACCTGTATTTCTACTACGCTATGGCCCGTGTATTCTCAGTCATTGTAAACCCACTATTAAAGTCTACGTTACTAACCTCTCCCTTAGCTGTTCGTGCAAGGTTTTGGAGCGTTGGTAAAGAAATCTGTTGGGGGTATAGGGAAGAAGATTTAGAAATTTTAATTTAATTACAGCACCTAATTAAAGAGAAATACGTCTTGACTATATTGGAGCATATTGACAGTCTAACCATGTTTTAAAGATGCAGCTTCAACAAAGACATGCAATTGGAAACACAAACATGGGATGCTTGAGNTACACTTCCTGTCATCATTTTGGCCCTATTTATCACCACAAATGTTGCATAACTCACACCTTTGACATTCATAAAGTAAAATTTAATAGCAAATCTGAATGTTTTTTGGAGAAAAAATGTTCCATTTTCTTTAGGAATGTTTTAAGAACGGATGCATCTTGAACACAAATAACTCAAGTGATTTAGTTGCTTTTTTTAAGTTGCTGTGATACCTTCCTAACTACATTGGGTAAAACACAAAAGATAGCAATGCTTTCGGTTAAGCTATCTTACAAAGCGATGCGAATCCCACAGTAGCATTGTTAGTATCCAGTGTGGTAAGATTGCAGGTCTGACATTACTTCCAACAGCGTATCACGCAACTTGACGGGAGACAAAAGGAAATATAAATACGATAAGAGAGCAAGGTTTTTTTTTAAAGTTTTTATCGTTTATGTTCATGAACCGCATGTAGTATGAAAACCCCAGACCTGCATTCCGATGCTTTATTACCGACTTACAGAGAACTAGAAGGAAGAGTTAGTCCAAAATCCGCGTCACAATTGTTGAAAAACTTCCCCCACCTCCCTACGCTCTTTTTTTTTTTCGCTTTAAATTCGGATTGCCTGCAAAGAAACCAATCTTAAAAAGGAGAGCGGGGTGTTTTAATCAAGAAAGACGAAAGCCGTTTAAGCTCAAATATAACACAAGCCACCTACTTATTATGGCGCTCGCACATACGCAGAGGTTTGACCGCGATGTTACACACACAACGCTTTCAAAATTTACGACTCTGGCGTCTTGCATGCCGCTGTAATCGTAAATTTCGAAAACGTAGGGCGAAAAACACAGCGGTCAGACGTCTGTGCATGCGTCGATCCCTTCTTTTTTCCTTGAAGAAGGAAAACTTATTGATCCAGAGGTAAAAACATATACAGTGGAAAATGTCCTCAAACGAAAGCATCAGAAAGCATAACGGCTTTAAATTACATTCTGAGGAGGAACAGAGTATTATAGGCAGAAACAGTAGAAAAAAGAAGAGAAGAAATAGAGGTCCTGCCAAGAAAGATCACCTGTATTTCTACTACGCTATGGCCCGTGGATTCTCAGTCATTGTAAACCCACTATTAAAGTCTACGTTACTAACCTCTCCCTTAGCTGTTCGTGCAAGGTTTTGGAGCTTTGGTAAAGAAATCTGTTTGGGGTATAGGGAAGAAGATTTAGAAATTTTAATTTAATTACAGCACCTAATTAAAGAGAAATACGTCTTGACTATATTGAAGCATATTGACAGTCTAACCATGTTTTAAAGATGTAGATTCAACAAAGACATGCAATTGGAAACACAAACATGGGATGCTTGAGAAAAAAAGCACTAAACATCGAGATGACAACCCATCAAAAAAAAAAGAAAGAGAGAAAAAAAAACAACCGTTTAATAAGCCATGAAAGTTCACTTACTGAGTCAAGGATTTCACTTGATAAACTGTTCGGCTCCATGACGATGGACTGCAACAGTCTTGAGAGGTACAGTGGAAAATCTTATTTCATATATACATTGAGGCAATAAGAAATATTCCCACTGTNCCATGAATGTTAAAGTGGCTTCAAAATCGATTGTTCAAGCCAGGTATGTTTTTCAAGGCGTTCATTTAAAAAACTATGGGACCATGTAGTGGAAGAGTTGAGTGATGGACCCGAGAAAACGTGCGGGAGAGGCTTTGAACGAAAATGCATCGGTTTAGATTACAAAATATTTGCTGCCTTTAACCCCCTCCCACCTCCCTGTCCTTCACAATCCCGGTTTTACTGTAATCTTTCGCTGCTCCGCCCCTGGGTGCTTTAAGGTGCACACAAAACCCCAATTACAAAATACGCAAACTACCGGTATCTTTTACAGGAAGAAACAGTTAGTCATAGCTATAACTTTGAGCTCCGTGAGTGATACAAGAATTTGGAGCGGTCTACCATTTCTCCACTCGTACACAACTTCGATTTCGATCTTCACCACGTCGTGACCATTATAACTCTTGGGTAGATAACAATGTTAGCAGAGCCAGCCTTAAACATAAGAATTTAAAATCATCTTACCCCGAATTATTTCCATAAGGTTGTCTAGAATTCCTGGCTTCTTCATGACGTACTGGAGCCCAGATACGTTGATACTAGAAATAACAATTAGAGTAATTTTTAATCTTCACAAAGACTTATCCGACCTATGTTATACAGTATGATGACAAACTTATGACAAATTTTTTATCAATTTGTCGTATTGTATTATTTGTGATCAGAATAACATCTACTTCTTTTTAATTATCTATTTCTTATCTAATATTCATCCAATTATTTTCTTAGTGGCCATAGCTTCATGTGGGAAGGGCAACTCGGATGAAGAAGTCATATATACCATTTGAACGAGCGATCTACAGTGACAAAGTGAGTTTTTCAGCTTTAAAATTAATTTATAAAGTTTACGATCGCTTAGCACGGAAACTGATTCTTAAATAAACCTTACCTAACATTATACAACGCCATAAGTATCAAATTTCTCATCTTGACATTTTTTCCCGCGGAAGACCCACCCAGTACTGCCATAAACGTGTCAATCAATACACGCCCACAGTCCTTCGTTACCAGGAATTCTCGACCCTGCGCACCAGCTGCCATGTTGGTGATAATTCCAACAAGAGCCAAAACAAACTGAAATTCTTCTGAGTTTTCTTTCGCTTCCTCTCCTCTAGCACAAGAGTCAAAGTAACTCTCAACGGTTCGAGATGTAATTTGAAGAAACTCTTCC